CTTAGAAACCTTCAGTGGCCTTCCATTCCATGCAGGAAAAGTCCAGTCTCCTTGAGCTAAAGTCATATTATGATCTGTTCTGTTCTGTTTGACCTTTTTACCACTGTCCTCATCTCACTGAGTTTCTGATCCCAAGGAACCTAATGAAGTGACATACCCATAGACTGAAAATTAAAGATCACACAGGAAGCGATACTTGAATAGACGGTGTTTGCTAGAGGAAGTAAACCTGAGTCTTAGAACTGCTGTCTTTTCTTCATGGCCTCATGCACTGTGTAAAATACTTCACATCCATTAATTCACTTAAGAAAATACACACACCATTCAGATTCAACAGATACTTTCATTTTAAGACTTACTAGATTTTAAGAAGCATGTTGTAACCACAGACCTAAGTTCTTGTAATGGTAAAAATAAACCTTGAATTCACACTTGTGATTTGTTTTAACCAGATAGTCAAAAAGCAAACATGAAATCTTTTTAAAAAACAAAAGTTTGAGAAGAAAAATTTCAAACTTATTCTTTGTCCAAATCACTTTCCTGACCTGATTCATAAAGCAAACATCCCATGTGCTTGCTGTAAGACTCTGCACCCTGACTGGTTCTTTATGAAACTATTGATTCATTTAATAAGCCAAAAGAAAAAAAAAAAAAAAAAGACTTTACTATATGTTTGTATGTAGGCAGATTTACAGACTTAGTGTTGGAAGCCTTAGGCACCATCCAATTCAATCTCACATTGTTGCTGAGAGTTGGTTGTTTACACTCTGCCTAGAAATTTCCAGTGACTGTGTTACTCTATCAGGGAGAGCTGACTCCAGATGTTAACAAAGTTCTTTCTTATATTGTGATAAAATAAACCTCCTTGCAGCTTTAACCTCTTCCAAGTTTTGTTTTTGGGTTAGTCCAGAATCACTTTATCACCTCTTGGAGACTACAGCCATATAGATATTTGAATTCAGAAACTTTTGCAAATTAATCCACTGGGCATTTCATTCCATCTGCACAGGTTTTTAGATTTTTAAAATAATAGCCACCAATTTGAAGATGGGAAGGTTTTTGTTTTTTTTTTTTTTCCTTTTGGTGGAACTCTAGGGATTAAATTCAAGGGCCTTTTACCACTGAGCTACATCCCTAGCTTTTTTTTTATTTTTTATTTTGAGACAGTGTCTAAGTTGTCCAAGCTAGCCTTGAACTTGAGATCGTCCTGCCTATGCATCTCACGCACCTAGGTTGACAAGCATGAACATGCTGGGTTAAAAATGGGAAGGTTTTATATAATAATCCAAATTTCTAGCTACTCTAAAATCAGGAATAATGCCAGGTTAAGGTGCACACCTGTAATCCCAACAACTTGGGAGGCTGAGGCAGGAGGATTGCAATTCAAAGCCAGCCTCAGCAACTTAGCGAGTCCCTAAGCTACTCAGCAAGACCCTGTCTCCAAATAAAAAAAAATAAAAAGGGCTGAATATGTAGCTCAGTGCCCTGGGTTCAATCCTTATCTTATTTTTGAAAAAGTCTAATTGTAAGACTCCCCTTTTGTGCCTCTTCTATTTCATCTTGTGGATTTATGACCTATCAGAGAATATTAATATCCTTTCAAATTATTTATAATTCCTTACTTGGTCTGTTTGACCTGTCTTTTTACCACTGTCCTCATCTCACTGAGTTTCTGATCCCAAGGAACCTAATGAAGTGACATACCCATAGACTGAAAATTAAAGATCACACAGGAATCGGTATTTGAATAGACGGTGTTTGCTAGAGGAAGTAAATCTGAGTCTTAGAACTGCTGTCTTTTCTGAGCATTGTTTTCTACAAGTTTGATATGATGAATGATAACTGTGTCTCAATTCCAATTATTGACTAAATGCTTCTTGAGACCATTTTCTTGGTTGTCTGTCACATTTATTTATTTTTCAGATGAAGAAATGGTACTTAGAGTGTTAAGTACCTTATTTCAAGGTCACTCAGCTGGTACTGTGGGCCAGATCTTTTAACTGCTGATGATGTCTTGGAAAGGAATTAGCCAGGACAGTGTGAATAAAGCATTCTAGGCTTCTTCCAATAATTACAGGCAACTATTTACTTTTGGAGTATGAATAGAAATCTTTAACATCTTGGAAGGATCTGTAGTGTTATCCCTTCTATTCAGTATCCTTTCCAGACCTTTGCAGTATTGGTTTCATTTGAAAGCTTGTTAGAAACGCAGAAGTCAGGCCTCAAAAACCTACTGAATCAGAATCTGTTAATTCTTTTTTTAGATTGTAGTACAGGGGACTGAACTCAGGGCCTCATGCATGCTAGGTAAGAGTAATACCACTGAGCTGTACCCTTAGCTCCTAAATCAGCATTTTGAGAAGTGATTTTTATGCACATTAAAGAAGCAATGCCCTAGTCTATAAATGATTAACAAACTTTAGTCAGTTTGCATATCACTTGCAGTTTGGGTTTGTGTACTCCCTATATGATTTAATGTATTTTAATAGTCTTAAACTTTACTTCTTTTTAATTTGAAATAATTTCACTTACAAAATAACTAAGAATAGAAAAGAGAATTCCTATGTATTCTACATTCCTATTTACATCACTATGGACTTGGGTTTTTTTGTATCCTGTAGATTATGTCTATTCTATTCCAAACTTGGCCACTGAGAGCATCTTCAGATGGGCTTCCAAGTGCTTTTTCGACAGTTTCCCATCAATGCTTAGCATTTCTTTTTGGCACAGCATACCAAGCTTATCCTTATTTTTCCCATCCTAGACCTGGAATTACTCATTTCTCTAAAGAACTCTGGAAAATGCTGTTTGAAAACCACAGTCTGGGCACTAAGCATGCTCATTCGTCATTGCTTCTAAGCCCTTTTAGAACGAACACAAAGCTAGAAATTGTGTACATGCACACACATACACATCTGTTTTCTATGTCTGTATACATTTAAAGCCATGAGTACATACTAGTGTTTTCAGTTCTAGCTCAATAACTTAGGGTTCATTGGAGCCTCCCTGCTTTTCTTATCTATAACTTCTTTTCTGACTGCCAAAAAGTTGGCTCTGCTTATCCACAATATACTTGTTAACTCAATTGAGAGTATAATAATTTTAGAATTGCTCTAATACCTGTGAAAATCTATAGAACAGTGTTTGTACATAGTTCTTTTTGAAGCTGACTCACAATAAAAATTGTCTTTTTTCACTATTGGTGGAAAACCAATAGTTATAAATTAAATACATAATTGCTAAAATTAAAAGTGTTCATGTTACTTTCTGGCTATTAGAATAGAATGATTTATCTCCAGAATTTGACTCTGTGTATCACTGTGTTGTGTGGTCTTGGGCAAGTTATTTAACTACTCTGAACTTAAATTTTCTTGCTTTTGAAAATTTTTTTCAATAAAGACTTTTGTTGACTAGCTTCTCTACATAAGGAAGGGGTTTGGGAGTGGACAATGGACCTATACTATACTACCAAGGTGCACTAAGTTAATGTTAATAGAAATGGTAGGCTGTACAATTAGATGTATTAGAACTGGCATTATTGACTTAAATTATGTTGGTCATTAACTTATAAACTTAAACCCAGGTACCCTCAGTGTTTACATATGTTAGAACTGCTCCAATATGAACACTTTCGAAAGGAGCTGGTGAATGCTCAGTGTGCGAAATTCATTGACGAACAGCAGATTCTACACTGGCAACACTATTCTCGGAAGCGGATGCGCCTTCAACAAGCCCTGGCAGAACAGCAACAGCAAAATAACACGTCAGGAAAATGAAAAGCTGGAAACAGATCAGGCTCTTAAAACTATATATAATGTATTTCCATTATACAGTGAAGACAAAACAAGAGACTTCCTGCCTACCTTTATCGTGGTAGCACCTGGATACTTTAGTGTGCTTTTAAATCCAGCTAACTTTTTATTGTTAATACATTATTTCTGTTAAGCCAAACTTGTTCTACTTTGATTTCCGGATGGATTTGTAAATTTTTATTAACATTTAACAGAATCAAGAAAGAATGGAAATGTTAGGTGCAGGGGATTGGGCTATCAAATGTAATTAACTCTAAGCCTATTTCATGATTTACAATAGTCCCTGGGGCAAGTCCTCTCTTGAATCTTTTTATCTCTTGGATCACCTTTTCCACCCCTCTTATCTACTGAAAGAAAGGACTAGAGTGGAGGACCTCTTGTTAAATCACAAAGCAAAAATCCCATAAAGGTTTTTACATTCTATAGGAAAGGAAATACTTTGCCAGATTTTAGTTGTAGTTGGACACAATACCTTTATTTCATTCATTTACTTTTATGTGGTGCTGAGGATCAAACCCAGGGCCCCATGCGCCCCATGCCCCACGCATGCTCTACCGCTGAGCCACAATCCCAGCAGCCAGATAGCAACTTTAAGAAAGAATTGTTAGTATGTCACTGACCTAGTGAAAGGTATGGAGAAGATTGGTGTTTGGACTCTTGACCTCAAGTTTGAACAAAGATGAGCCTCAAATGCTTGTGTTCATTTGGGAAAGTTAATATTTGGCCAGTACTGCAAACCACATGCACCTTAAATGCTGCCTTGCATTCTCATTGATCCTTACTTGTAAAGGAGGAAAAAAGCTATTAAGCACTAAAATCAGTGTGTCTGACTCACATTCTAGAGTTCTTATAACTATGTTATCTGGTCTCCAGTCTTCCTCAAGTGAAGCACATTCACACAGCTATAAAACAGAACTGCCTGAATTAAGCAGCTGGATTAGATTCATGCTGTACTTTCTCTAAGTGGTTAAATTCTACATTCCAAAAGCAAAGAAGTGGTTTTAAAAATATCTATTGTTCTGCAAATTCATGGAATTTAAGATCCTAATCCCTTCAGAGATTTGGAAGTTGTCTATTTTTTTAACCTCCAATAATATATTCCTTTGAACTATGACTGCCACTGCTGAACTTATTTTACTCAAATCTTTAAGATGGCTATATGTTACAAGAAAATTGAAGGTTCATGAGTATTTTTAAAAAGCATTCTTTATTGTTTAGACATAAGCTAATTTTCGTATCATTTATTTACTGCTAAAATGAATGCAAATTTTCATATCATTTATTTACTGCTAAAATAAAGTCATTATTTATAACTAGAGCAAACCAGGAAATCAAGATACAGTTGCCATCATTAAATTTTAATCTTCAGAGAACAGCATCTCCACAAGGTTGGCCTGAAGGCACTCTGATTCTACCAGTTTTTGAGGCTGTAAGAAAAGAACAGTCAAGTCTTAAGCATTGCCACAAGGTGTTATTAGGAGTGGAATAAGTTTTAGCTTGAATAACACAAATCATTGAATATAAAAAACCTGCCAGAATAACAAGTCTTATAAAAACAGTTAAGACATTTTGCCTTAAGGTGAATCATTAAAATACTTGGCTTAAAGGCCTTAAACCCCAAATACCAGGAAGCTCCACTAACCAAAATAGGAGACAGCAAGCCCAAAGCTGTCCTTTGCCCTGAACTCCTTAATTTAGGATCCCAAGTGCATGACTGAAATAAAGGAGTTGCCCTTTCTTTTAAACCTGAATAATGTATTAACAGAAAATCATTATATTAGTGCTTTAAGGAATTGTGAGTCAACCAACTTTCTGGCTATTAAATTTTTAAAGAAAAGGGATTTTTTAAATGTAAAAAAAAAAAAATCAAGTATTTAAATATTTGCATTATTTTAGCAGTTTATTGGGATTGAGTAGGGGACAGTCAGCTTGGTTGTATATCTTTTAAAGCATGCTGAACAACAATGGGATGTTTGAGATGGAATGTCAACATCTTTTCAAATATGACTCTAGAACAAGTTAAAAGTGTCTTGACAAAGTGAATTCGAATTCCTAAGGTATTTAAAGAATGATAACCTGCTAGGCTCAGAACCTCACCTGTAATCCCAGTGACTGGGGAGGCTGAGGCCAGCCTCAGCAATTTAATGAGGCCCTAATTACCTTAGCAAGACCCTATCTCAAAATAGAAAGGGAGTGGGATGTGGTAAATGCCCCTGGATTAAGTCCCTGGTATCAAAAGAATAAATACACTCACCGTTCCATATTTAATTAGTGTAGGCACTGCAGTTACTTTCAGTTGTTTTCTGAAGTCATTATTTGGATCTTTCCAACTATTCCCCAAAAAAAGTTATGAAAAAAAATTTACTTGGTTATACTGTTTGCTTAGTATGTGATATGTCCTGATATTTAGTATTTTAGTAATCACTGATGTTGTAAACATTTTAAAAAGTTGAGGACTATAAATTACTACCCTTTGCAATTTTTAATTTAAAATGTGACTAAGATGCAAAATACTATAAAGCCGGTTAAGTACTGAACTGAAACAGGCCACATTCATTCAGTTACCTCTACTTAATTCAAGAGTCTGAATATATGCATTATAAATTTGAATTTAATAGGTCCCCGTTGTTTTAACTTATTACAGTTCATCTTATAACAAAGAATCTGTGCAAATCTGAGGGCCTTTTCACCTGTAAGTCTAGTGCATGTCGGAAACACAACATATATACATTGTTACTTACTAAGGTTTTTCTCCTACTTGGCAGTGGATGAACACACATTCTTTACTAATATGCTTCAGCCCCTCTCGAACGACTGGTTCCGCTTAAAAAAACAAAAAAATTAACATAAAATAATTGCACATCAACTCCACAATCCTCTCCCCTCTTCCCCAGTCTTGATAAGTACTCAGACTTTAACCTGTAGTTAGACTTTTCACTTAACAGAGGAGTTTAACAGAGTCAGGTGTTCTCTTCTGGTCTTAGAGCCACATTGATCTACGCCACACGCCCAAAACAATGAAAAGCAGAAATATTTGCAGACTGAAAAGTGACCAACTCACGTATACGACTAGATCATTTGGGGAAATGAAGTTTTAAGAACCGGGCTTCAAGATCATCTGGGTCACAAATCCAAAAAAAAAAGCACTCGGTATGGCGGGGAAGGACTTGATGCGAAACGAGAGCAATTCAGATGGCCTCACAGGTGTCCAGGACCAAGGCTCCCTCTTATACCACTTCGAACCCCACTTTGTGGCTGTAGCCTCGGTCTTCCCACCACTTCTGGGCAGTACCCAGATTCCGGCCTCACCCTGCACGCAGTCGGGACACCAGCTTTTCCCCTCGGCGTCCTTAGAACCTGTAAAGTAGGCGAAAATGGTCTTGCCCAGGTGCTGCTTCACAGCCTGATTGAACTCCTCGAAGCCCGACACGCTCACCTCCTCGTAGATAGCCATGAGTACTGCGTACTGGAGGCGTCTACGTTGCAGCTGCCGCTGGGCGGGTCGCCCTCCGGGTGGGGAGGAGCCATTTCCGGGTGGGCGGGAATAGGACCGTACCTCGGGATCTAGCGCTGCTCTGCCAAGCTACGGAACCTGTGAAGGCCATAATTAACCAGCACCGTATTTATCCTGTTGTTTTTCAGTTCTTTCAGGGCGGTTTCCCACCCAAACTCAGGCTTCTTCCCTGATCTGGGTCCCGGTTCCGGCCCCATGGAGATTAGCTGCAAAACCTGCAGCCCTGCAACACCTGGACCCCTCAAGCGGCTGGGGAGCCTCTTCGGCTCCCAAGCAGCCTTGCGCCTATTGCTATGGCGACTGGGAGAGCGGCCGGAAGCGAGGCCTAGTTGGGGGCCCCACTGCCCGCCTACTGGTAGCCGCGCCTCGCCCCGGGCCAGGTGGGCTTGAGCTGGAGCTGGGGGGATTCTGGGAAGTTGCGTTAGGCGTCACTGACCTGAGGGGAAGGAGATCTTGACCCGGCAGATCCTTCTGTTTCATTTCCCCGATGAGTTCTTCTCCTATCTAGCTTTAGTGGGGTCCGGGCCCGGGGGGCGGGAGCCCGGGACTGGGCGGGGGTGGTTGGGGAGGCTGGGTAGGAGAAAGGCTGCGAGGGCCGGAACCGAATGTGTGAGTGCGTGTGTGGAGCAGCCTAGGGGGCCAGGTGCTAAGACACACAGTGCCCCGGAGCTGTGTTGGGGAACGGAATTGTCCTGGAGCTATGAGTGGGACGACTGGCCGTGGGTCCTTGCCCAGGCTGCGCAGGGGCGACCTGGCGGCAAAGATGCTGGGTCGCTGCGTGGGCCCTAGCAGGTTGGGACGCGAAGTTCGTCGGCCTTGGGGGAGGAGATGGGGTGCAGGGACGTCTCGAGGCTTTGGAGCGAGGCGCCGGGCGAGGTCCTCGGTGTGGGAGACGCGGTGTGTGAGTGCCGAAAGGCGGCAGCGACCATTGGGGAGGAGACAGTCTTCGGAGGTTGCCGGAGCGAGCGAGGCTTTGGGAACACCTGGGGCTGCAGGCTTTATTGAGGCTGCAAGGGACCGCAGGGTCGTGTGGGTGAACGGGACTTTGGGCGAGCCCGAGGTGGTGGGACCCACAGGGTCTGTGTGGGTGACTGGATCTGGGGAGGAGGCAAGTGATAAGAGTCCCCGAGGTTGTGAGAGAAAAGGTCGTCCAGGAGCTCTGGGACATGGGAGCATTCTGGAACTGTGGTTGAAGGTGCAGGCTATGAGAGCAGCTTCAGGATGTGGGGATGGAAGCAGAGTGGAGCTCTGTCCTGTGCCTTCAGGAGAGGGGCCAGTAGAAAGAGGTGTTCCTGGCCGGGCTTCCTGGGTAGAGACAAGCCGAGGTGGTGTCACAGGACCCTGGGTAAAGGGACAGGCGAGGGGAATTCCCCGGGCCTCAGAACTGCCCAGAACCATGGGGTTAAGGGCAGTCTGTGGGCAGGGACAGACTGGGAGTGTGCTGCCTCCCCTGAGCTTTTCTGGGGCTGTGGAGAAGATAGGCTCTGCATGTGCCCCAGGTCCTTGGCAAAGAGGACAGACTGGGGGTGTGCCAGGGACCATGAGGTTGCCTGAAGCTGTGGGAGTGCCCAGAGCTGTCAAGGTTGAGGTGGGTTGTGGGGAGCCTCCAGGTCTGTGGGGCAGAGGACAGCTAGTTCCTGGGGCTCTGGCACAAGATACAGCCTGTGGGGATACCCCAGGCTTATGGGGGAGGGTACAGACTGGGGGAGTCCCTAATGTCATGGTGGTGCCCAGAGCTGAGGAGGAGGAAACTACCCCTGTGTGTGCCCCAGGCATGTGGCAGAGGAGACAAGAGGTGGATGATATAAGCTCTGAGGGTATTCCTGCCTTATGGGGCACAGGACAGCCTGTAGGAGTACCTTGTGCCACTGAAGAAGAAACTAGATATGTGGGTGACCCAGGATTAAGAGAAAGGGGACAAGCTATGTGGGTAGAGACAGGTTCTGGCAGTGACCCAGGGATATTGGGAGCTGCACAGACTGCAGAGCTGTCTGGTTCCAGGGAGCAGGAGACAGGTTCTCAGGGTGCCAGGGATCTGTGGGGTATAGAACATCCTGTGGGAGTACCCAGGGCTTTGGGGAAGGAGACAGGCTGTGCAAGCATCCCAGCATTGTGGGAAATAGGGCAGCTTTCTAGGGTGTCCCAGGCTGTAGTGGTCCCAGGAACTTTGGAAGAAGAGAGCAGCTATGGTGGCGTTCCAGGCCTGTGGGAGAGGCAGCAGCCTCTGGGAACGCCTCTGACTGAGGCAGTGCCAGAGCTTAATGTTAGGGAGACACATACTGGGAATGTCCTGAACCTGTGGAAAAGGAGGAGCACAATGGAAGGGCAAGAGGACCTGGTACCGGAAGCTTTAGGGACAGATCAAGAAACCAGCTCTGGAGCTGTATCGTGTCTGTGTGGGAGTAGGCAGGCAGTGGGGGTATCTGAGATAGTGGATGTGCCTCAGGCAGCTGGTGTGCCCAAGCACAGGTATGCCCCAGCAGGGGTACCCATAGCTCGGGAAGTGCCCGGGCCTGGAAAGGTACCTGCCAGAGTGCCTGCTGCAGTGTGGGCATCTGGCCCTGTGTGTCAGGAAGATAGTGCTAGAGATGTCATGAACCCATGGGAAACAGCTTGTACTGCTGGGATGCCTGTAGCTTCAGGGGGCCCCATGTCTCCTGAGGAGCTGTGGTCTGTGGGAGAGGATAATGGTTCTGGGGCTTTTCCGGGTTCTTGGGGAAGAAGACAGGCTGTTGAGATTCCCATGGCTCCTGAGGTACCTGGTTCTCTGGAGGTACAGACTGGTTCTGGGGGTTCTTCAGGCTTCTTGGGAAGGAGACAAACTGTAGGAATGCCTGTGATTATGGGAGTATCCCCAGCTAGTAGAGGGTCTTTGACTCCCAGGGCAACTAAGCCTATGCGAGAGGAAGCTGGAAGTGTCTCTGGCTTATGCAAGGAGAGACAGACAGTGAGAGGACCTGCAGATACCAAGGGTTCCACAAGGATGCCCACTTCTGCCAGGATGCCTGAGCCCATGGAGGGGAAGACTGGCTCTGGGTGCATCTCAGGCTTGTCAGGGGTCAGGCAGGCTGCAGGGATATATAGGGCTATGGGATTCCCTGAGCCCTTGGGAGGGGAGAGACACTCCGAGGGTCTCTTGGGCTTATCGGGGAGAGGACAGGCTGCTGGAGTGCCTGTGACTGCTAGAGTGTCCATGGCCATGGGAATTCCCACAACTTCTGGGCCCCCGATGGAGCCAGATAGTAGTTCTGGCAATGACTCCAACATATGGGGAAGGAGACGAGTCACTGAGGTGCCCACTGCTGCCAGTATTCCTGGATCTGTGGAGGAGGAGATGGGTTCTGAAGGTGTCTCGGGCCTGTGGCAAAGGAGAACCAGTGGAACAGTCCCTGAGGCTGTGAGGGTGCCTGTGCCTCTGGGAATGCTTGCAGCTATAGGAGTTCCCACAGCTGGGCGTGTGCCTGCTGCTGTGTGGGTGACTGGGTCCTCAGGGGAAGAAGCAGGTGTAGATGTCTCGGGCCTGACAGTAGTGAGGAGGCAGTCCACAGAGGGAGCGGGGCCCTTAGGGGAGGAGTCAGGAGGTACAGGTATCCTGGGACTGTCAGGGACATGCCAGGCTGTCGGGGTGTCTCACACTTGTGGGGGTCATGCCAGGTTATGGAGCTGTCCAAGGTCTGTGGGTGAAGAAACAGCCTGTGAGAATGCTCCTGGAGTGTCTAGGACAAGATTGGCTTTGGTGGTTCCCCCAGTTTCAAGGCAGGAGATGGGTCTCAGCCATTTCAGAGATCCCCCAGAGCATAGAGGGAGGAGACAGGTTGGAGAAGGGTCTGGAATCAGGGTGAGGGGGAATGATTTGAGAGACAGTTATGTGGGGGAGGACAGACTGTGGGGGGGATTCCAGTAGTATGTATAAGGGAACAAGTTGGGGCTCTATGGGAGGGAACAGATTGTGGGGAGGTTTGTCCTGGGTTATGGATGCAGGCACAGGCCATAGCAGTGCCAGAACAGGGGGAAAGATAACTTGATGGAGATGTCTCAGAATATGTAGGGTGACAAATTGGGAGGTTTCTTGGAACAATGGGGAATGGGCTGATTGCTAGGAGAGGAGTGTCCCAGGACTTTGTATAGGGGAACAATTTAGTGGGGGTGTCCCTGAACTTTATGTGTTTGTATGTGTGTGTATGTGTGATCACTCAAGGTATCCTGGAACTCTGGGACCACATAGTTTTTTCTTGGTGGAGAATGGACTGTCAGGCCTTTGGCATAAAGAAGCATCCAGGGGAAAAGTACTTATCATATAAAAGTTGTGAGTGCTCTGGCCCCAATTCTGCAGTGCATTCTGTGGCTTTAGTCCCTGACCCTTGGTGATGTGAAGACCGTTTCATTGCTTCAATCATGTACCCCTCCCATCTGCTTCTTGAATCATGCCTCTGTAGCCTTAGAAATAAGGAATCTTGGATAGCTGTCTTTATGTTTCTAGAGGTGTTATCTGTCTTTGGGCAAATGTAGAGTGTAAACCTTGAATTTATTCAACGGCTTAAGTAGGAATTTTTTTTTTTCTCTAACCCTTAATTTTCCAATTGATTTACCATAAGAGTCTTTGAGAGAACTATTTCCTAGTATATTTAAAACTAGTCTGTTCTCAAAAAATCTACTCAAGAAATGTTGAGTTAAATTGTCTACTATGCTCAGAGAACTGTGTTGTGGGAAATAGAACAGACAGGGCCCTTAACCTCAAGGAACCTTGTCTAGCTGGCAAGATGAGACATTTACCTGTGAAATAAGTAAATAACAGTATGAAACAACACTGTGTGACAGGCACCTGAGTGGCAGAGCTATTAAAGTATACAGAGGCCTTCAGGATAGGCAACAATAATGATAAGGACATAGATCCTTTCAGCTTACTAAATGCTTTAGTGTCTACGTCCTCATGAAGATTTAGAAGGGCCACTCAGCTAATTAATGGCAGATCCTGGTTTAAATTTTAGGAATTCTGATTCCCCCAGGTTT